CTAACAATCGAAATCCATATACTCTATACACCTCTAAACACCTAACTTTCTAAACCCCTCACCATCTAAAACACTAACCCTCAAAACACCTAAACCTCTAACCCTCTAAACCCCTAACTCTTTCAACCCCTAACCTTCTATACCTTTAAAACCCAACCCTCTAAACCCTCTTAAACACCTAACCATCTAAACCCCTAACCTTATAAACTCTAACCTATAACGCTAAATCCCCAACCTAAATCCCAACCCATCTAAACTCCAATCCTCTAAACCAGAGGTTCCCAACCTCCAGGCCACGGACCACTACCGGTCCGTGGCATGTTAGGGACCGGGCCGCACAGCAGGAGGTGAGCGGTGGGCAAGCGAGCGAAGCTTCATCTGTATTTACAGCCGCTCATCGCTCGCATTACTGCCTGAGCTCCGCCTCCTGTCAGATCAGCAGCAGCATTAGAACCCTACTGTAAACTGCGCATGCGAGGGATCTAGGTTGCACACTCATGAGAAGTCAGAATCCGACACTTATTTTGGTCCGCGCGTAGCCCGCCCACTTCCGTCTGCGCCTCTTTCCCGTACTGCGCAGTTTTGGTAAGCTCACAAGCTAACCCTAGCCAAAATGAGTAAAAAAACAAACATCGCTGGAGAGCTTCTTTGAAAAGGGGGAAAGACCCAATGATGAACCCCCCCCCCCCCCCTCTGGTCCGTGAAAAAATTGTCTTCCACGAAACCGGTCCCTGGTGCCAAAAAGGTTGGGGACCACTGCTCTAAACCACTCACCCTCTAAACCCCAAAACCACTAAAACCATAACCCTTTACAACCCCAACCCTCTCATACCATAATAAAGGTTTGTTGGGTTAGATTGTGTAAATGTGTCGTTAAACCCGCCACCATCCGACAGCCAATTAGTAAATCTTGATTTGAAGCTTTTGTGACTGCAGGAATTCATACTCTTTGGTTTATTCGGTAAAGTAAGTAGTTAGAAATAAAATAAATTACGACGTTTCGATCGCAATACAAGCGGTCGTCATCAGGCAAAGGAGTCGGCCTCTAAAGGCAAACAGTTTATAAGGGTTTGGGATGGGTGTTGCCCAAGTGTATCAGCAGCACCAGGAGCATTGGTGGTACACAAGTGCCAATGCAGCAAAAATGCCAATGCAGAAACAATGCCAATGCAGCAGCAATGCGAATGTAGCAGCAATGTGAATGCAGCAACAATGCCAATGCAGTGGGTGAGAGAGCTGCCGTGGCAAGAGGTTACATAGGTAAGAAAGGGAGGAGCAAGGGGGGAGAGAGAGAGGGGGGGGGGGTGTAGGAAGATGGGGGGGGGGGGCGTGAGCGCTAAGGGGATAGAGGACGTGAAGCCTGGGGGGGGGGGGAAGTGGGCGGGGATGCAAGTGGGAGGCTGGGAACGCTGGGAATGCGGGGGGGGGGGGGGGAAATAACTCGGAAAAAATAGACGAGTACCCGGCAGATATGATGGAACAACCATAAACAATTAAGGTTTTACCTGGTTAATAACATCCTTCCAATGATTGCTCAATTTGTATCCATCTTCTCGGTTAAAGTTATGTCTATGTTTATATATCTGGATGGCTTCATGAACAAACCTTTGATAGTAGCCCGAAGGTTTGCAGAGTACCTTGGTTTCAGAAAAAACTATATCATGCGAGCCCACAGCGTTATAACAATGGTCAACCATGGCAGAGGTGTTTCAGATCTCCCTTGTGTTCGCGCACACGGTCCGAGACATGTCGTTTTGTTTTCTCAATGTAGCTGCTACCGCAGGTACAAATCAGTTTGTAGACTCCAGATGGGATTAGATCATGGATTAAGAAGGTACTCCACATCGGCCAATCGTCTCCACTATCAACTCACCTACCTACAAACTGGCCCGTTTTCTGTCTGATACCTTGCTTTCATTCATGGGCAAGACTACCTTAGTAGTACATAACAGCTCACTTGGTCTCTCTAATCAAGGGCATTTCACTGTCCCCAGATGATTTGCTCATCAGCTTTGATGTAGTTTCTCTGTTGTTCAAGGTTCCTGTACCTGACACTTTAGCAATAATTGAAGATTTAGTCCAACATGGACTGAATCTTGATGTACCTACTCTGGTTAGGCACTGCCTTACCAACACTTACTTCACTTGAAATGGTACTTTTTACAAACAAAATGAAGGTACCCCCATGGGTTCCCCCTCATCACCAGTGATAGCGAATGTTTTCATGGAGAAATTTGAAACAGATGACATCCAGACATCCACCCTATGTCCTTCCTTGTGGAAGAGATATGTAGATGACACTTTCGTCATTTCGCCACATCAATTCCATACACCCATCCGTCAAATTCACCATGGTAGTGGAGAAGGATGGTAAGCTACCATTCCTGGATGTTTTGTTTGAGAAGAGACCTGACGGCTCGTTGGGACACTGTCTACAGGAAAGCCACCCACACATATTCCTATCTGAAACCTGATTCCCACCACCATCCGGCACAGAATAATTCCCTCATCAAAACACTACACCATAGGGCCCACTGCATTTCCGACCAACACCACCTAGCCAGTGAACTGGAACACGTACACCAGGCCCTCAAGATGAATGGGTACTCGGATCGCATTATTCGCATAGCTGTTTCTCCAACCATGAAGAAACAACCCCCTGAGAAGCTAATCAAAACCATCACATTACCATACATAGCAGGTGTTACCAAAAAGATTTCCAAAATTTTAAACAAACACAAGATCTAGGTCCGATTCAATACAGTACACAAAATCCGTGATCTAATCCCATCTGGAGTCTACAAACTGAGTTGTACCTGCGGTAGCAGTTACATTGGGGAAACGAAACGACATGTCTCGGACCGTGTTCGCGAACACAAGGCAGATCTGAAACACATCAGAACCAATACCTCTGCCGTGGGTGAACATTGTTATAACGTTGTGGGCTCACATGATATAGTTTTTTTCCGAGACCAAGGTACTCTGCAAACCTTCGGGCTACTATCAAAGGTTTGTTCATGAAGCCATCCAGATATATAAACATAGACATAACTTTAACTGAGAAGATGGATACAAATTGAGCAATCATTGGAAGGATGTTATTAACCAGGTAAAACCTTAATTGTTCATGGTTGTTCTATCATTTCTGCCGGGTACTAGTCTATTTTTCGGAGTTATTTCCCCCCCCGCATCCCCAGCGTTCCCAGCCTCCCACCCACTTCCCCCAAGCTTCACGTCCTCTCTCCCCTTAACGGTAATGCAGCGCCCCCTCATACCCCTATCCCCCCTCTCTCTCTCCCCACTTGCTCCTCTACTGTTTCTTACCAATATAACATCTTGCCATAGCAGCTCTCTCGCCCACTACATTGGCATTGTTGCTGCATTGGCATTGTTGCTGCATTGGCATTGTTGCTTCATTGGCACTCGTGCACCGCCCATGCTCCTGGTGCTGTTGATACACTTGGGCTACGCTCATCCCAAACCCTTATAAACTGTCTGCGTTTAGAGGCTGACTCCTTTGCCTGATGACGACCGCTTGTGTTGCGATCGAAACGTCGTGATTTGTTTTATTTTATTTCTAATTATGTTACTTTACCAAAAGAACCAAAGACCAATTAGTAAAGTTTGTCACATGAACAAAAAGTGCCAATTCGTTTCTCCTTTAGCACACTGATGTGTTGGACTAACCCAAAAAAACCTTTATTATGGATAATATTAGTTGTGAAAGTCTAGGTGTTAAATCCTCTACACTCCTAACCCCTAAACCTCAATACCCTATAAACCTCTAACCCTCAAAACCCCTAAACTTCGAAAACCCAAATCTCCTAAACCCCAAACATCTAAATCCCTAAACTTATAACCCTCTAAAATCCAAACCCTCCAAACCAATAAACATCTAACAATCAAAACCCATACACTCTCTAAACTTCTTAAACACCTAACTCTCTAAACTCATAATCTTCTAAACCCTAACCCAATTAACTCCTAACCCTCTAAACCCCTCACCCTCGAAGCACCTATACCATAAAACCCTAAACCTCTGAACCCCGAAACTAAACCCCTAAAAAAACCCTAAACTCTAAAACCTATAACCTTCTAAATTTCTAACCCTCTAAACCACTAAACCTCTACATATCGAAACCCATAAAGCCTCTAAACCTTTAAACACCTAACTATTTAAATCTCTTAACCCATAATATTCTAAACCCTAACCTTCTAAAACCCTAACCCTCTGAACCCCTAACTCTTTAAGTCCCTAAACCCCTAAAACAATAGCCATCTAAACACCTAAACCTCTAAACCCCTTACCCTTTAAAACCCTCCCTCTAAACCCTTAAACCCATCATCCTCTAAACCTGTCAACCCATAAACTTAGTCCAATAAGTATCGAACCCTCTAAACTTCCAACCCTCTAAACCCATCACCCTCTAAACCCCTATAGCCCTAAATCCCTATACCCCTAAACCCCTAACCCTCTTAAACCACTAACCCTCTGTGTGGAGTATGTTGGGTAGTGGGTATCACGCTGTGGGTGGGTGCAGGGTGTGTGTGGTGGGTGGAGGGTATCACAGGGTGGGTGCAGGGTGTGGGTGGTGGGTGGAGGGTGTGGGTGGTGGGTGCAGGGTATCACGGACTGGGTGGGTGCAGGGTGTGTGTGGTGGGTGCAGGGTGTGTGTGGTGGGTGCAGGGTGTGTGTGGTGAGTGGAGGGTTTCACAGGGTGGGTGGGTGCAGGGTGTGTGTGGTGGGTGCAGGGTGTGTGTGGTGGGTGCAGGGTGTGTGTGGTGAGTGGAGGGTATCACAGGGTGGGTGAGTGCAGGGTGAGTGTGGTGGGTGCAGGGTGAGTGTGGTGGGTGCAGGATGTGCGTGGTGGGTGCAGGGTGAGTGTGGTGGGTGCAGGATGTGCGTGGTGGGTGCAGGGTGAGTGTGGTGGGTGCAGGGTGAGTGTGGTGGGTGCAGGGTGTGGGTGGTGGGTGGAGGGTATCACAGGGTGGGTGGGTGCAGGGTGTGGGTGGTGGGTGCAGGGTGAGTGTGGTGGGTGCAGGGTGTGGGTGGTGGGTGCAGGGTATCACAGGGTGGGTGGATGCAGGGTGTGTGTGGTGGGTGCAGGGTGTGGGTGGTGGGTGGAGGGTATCACAGGGTGGGTGGGTGCAGGGTGAGTGTGGTGGATGCAGGGTGTGTGTGGTGGGTGCGGGGTATCAAGGACTGGGTGGGTGCAAGGTGTGGGTGGTGGGTGGAGGGTATCACAAGGTGGTTGGGTGCAGGGTGAGTGTTTTGAGTGTGGTGAAAGTCGTCAGGGTTCACACCAATCCACCACCTCTACCACCCCTACTGTGCAGTGGACCGGCCACCACAAAGCAGCACACGTCGGAGGAGTGAGCGGATGGCTCTCCCTATGCGGGCCAGGCTCCCTTGCTTCCTCTTCTCCTGCTGTACCATCAACTCCTCCACCAGGGTCTCCTGTACCACCAACTCCTCCACCAGGGTCTCCTCAAGTACTACCAACTTCTCCACCAGAGTCTCCTGTACCACCAACTCCTCCACCAGCGTCTCCTCAAGTACCACCAACTCCTCCACCAGAGTCTCCTGTACCACCAACTCCTCCACCAGAGTCTCCTGTACCACCAACTCCTCCAAAAGGGTCTCCTTCTGTATCTCCAACTCCTCCACCAGCGTCTCCTGTACCACAAACTCCTCCACTAGGGTCTCCTGTACCACCAACTCCTCTACCAGCGTCTCCTCAAGTACCACCAACTCCTCCACCAGAGTCTCCTGTACCACCAACTCCTCCACCAGAGTCTCCTGTACCACCAACTCCTCCACCAGCGTCTCCTGTACCACCAACTCCTCCACCAGCGTCTCCTGTACCATCAACTCCTCCACCAGCGTCTCCTCAAGTACCACAAACTCCTCCACCAGCGTCTCCTCCTGTACCACCAACTCCTCCACCAGGGTCTCCTCCTGTACCACCAACTCCTCCACCAGAGTCTCCTCTTGTACCACCAACTCCTCCACCAGAGTCTCCTCCTCCTCCAGCACCACCAGCTCCTCCACCATGGTCTCTTCTTCCTCCACAACCTTCAACTTCTCTTTAGAGGCCTGGGCGAGCAAGGAGGATGGGCGCTGTGCCGGCTCCACTCTGTGAAGAGATGCGCACGACACCGTTCCAACTTCCTGCTCTAGCAGAAATCAGTCCCCCCCATCCCCCCCATCGTCTATGGGTGGACTAACTGTGTGCCGCAGAAGATTAACCCAGCTAATTAACAGTGCCGCAATAATGCAGCATACCTTTGCCCACCGTGAGTCTGGTTACAAAATGGGCATTAGTCTGGCGGTGTCTCAGTGGATGAAGGGCAACTTGGGAAAGATGTTGCCGCTTCATTATCTGTCCTCACCCAGAAACCAATTATGGAAAAATAAATCCGTATATAACCGAATCTACACGTTCTCTTTGGCTGGAACTCACAGCCAGAGAGGACCTGGGTTTGATTCCCATACGTGGGCCACTTTTTCTGTGTGGAATGTGGAGTGTGTTCTACCAACCACCCTACCCTGCCTGCCCCCCCCCCCCCCCTGCATGGGTTCCCAGAATCAGAATCTTTCTTTAAACTGGATGAAGAGGAGTCTGATGAGCTATGAAGCTCTTCTTTCACAGATGTCCAGTCAAGTCACAGGGTCAGCAGGTTATAACAACAAACAAAACAAAAGGAGTCCAAAGTATACCAAAAAAAGCGTATAAATACAAATGGCTTAAGTAAATAAAATCCTGTCAGTTTTTCAACACTAAATGCAAGCTTGTGCAACGCAGTGAAACAGCAACAAAAACAGCCTCACACCACATCAAGACAACACAATCCTTCAATAAAATTGCAAATTAAAATTTCACTTCCATTCCTCTGGGTTTGGCAACTGAACCCTCACAAACACGCTGTGCAACCAGTGTTGGATGGACATCTCCACCAGTGTTGTAAATTGAACCTCCAAATAACTCAATTGGGATCGTACAGTAGCAGTACATTTGTTCTGTACTGCAAAATACTTGGCAGGACCCTCCTGAAAAAAGTATTGAGACTGAGTGAGGCTATTGCTGGCTAAATAAGCGTAGAAGTAGTAGCAATGAAGATAACTAGATATTAAACACACACACACACAGGAGCAGAGTCGTCCCCCGGGTACGGTGTACAGGGGGTGACCACCCCGGGCCCCGCGCTTTGGGGGGCCCTGCGGTTCGATGTCACGGTGTCAGGCGTAATACTTCCGTTTAACACGTAGGCTATCGCTCCAGATTGGCTCACAAGTGATGACATCACATTTATCACTCTATTTAAGACCGAAAGAGGAGGATTTCTCCACGATTCGTAAGCCCACACGGTGTAACTTGCTCCAGGCCCCGCACCCCCCTATAGACTGCCATGACCACTGGACAAGCAGATGGTGGCTTACCGTCGCTCAGCAGCTCCAGAGTGCTTCACACTGCCAGGAGCAGCAGCGGTGGTGGTGGTGGCTTTGCTGGCCGTGGTGGTGCTGGTGGCCGCAGTCCGGAGCCAGTTATGAGCCAGCGCCTGCACTGGCGTCATACGACAATTCGGATCCCATCTGTTGAGAGATGCACGGGGAACACACGCGGCCACGTGGTGAGAGAGGCATGGTGAGAGCTTTGATGTTCCTTCCCTTCTCCCACGAGGTCCAGGAATGCACAGCAGCAGCGGAAGCCACAGTAGCAGTGGCAGTCCTCTGATGCCCAGCAGCGGCTTGGACAGACCTCCCACTCCTCTACAGAGGGCTAACTCCACAGAGGGCCAGTGGTACCGCTTATTGGCAGGTCCACTCAGCTCCACATCTTCCTGGTGATCGGTGGAGAGCGGTCGCCAATCAATTGGAGGGGGGAATCCTCGTGGGGAGGGGGTGGGAGTGGTGGGTGGTTCTTACCGCAAACAGGAGCTGATGAATTCGACAAACTCCGGGTCATCGCTTTTGAGCACCCTGTGAAGTGGGAAGCTCCCCGGAACCCTTTTCTTGCCTGGGCAGAACATCTTCCCCCGATGGTCTGCAGGATCCATGCACAGCGGAAGAGACGAAGTCACCAACCACCACATCGCCCATCTACCCACTTACTGACCGATTCATCAACCCACTCATCCACCTACCCACCCATACACTCTTCCACCTACCCAATCGCTCACTCACCTATCCACCTACCCACTCACCCACCCACTCATCTACCCGCCCACCCACCCTCTCGCTGACCCACTCACCCAACCACTCACCCATTCGCCCAATTACCCACCAACCTACTCGCCTACTCACCCACATACCCATCCACTTGCCCACACACCCATTTACCCACCCACATACCCAAGTAATGTAAAATACAAAGACGCCCCCTCCAAAACAAAATAACAACAGCCTGAGGCCACACCCTAAAACTGAATCCGGTCTGTCATTCACCCCACGCTTCAACTCACCAAAGAACTGCGTTCTGTCGGGTGCTCCATTCACCATGTACCTTGGAGGCATCCCCAGAATCTGCACATGGTTGACATGAAGACAAAGGTCACCCGTATAGCTTCGGCACACTGTCGGGACAAGTGCTGTTAGATCGAGTAGCAAAATTAGCAGCGTTTGTTGAGGGCCAGCACTGTGGCACAGAGAGACAGGAGTGGCGGCTGATTTCAGCCGCATCATCTCTACATAACAAAAAGGCTCAGTCCCTTTAACACGCACCTTTACATCATCCGCACCTAGTTTACACAACAAAGGCTCATTCCTAACAGCGTGCTTCAGCCGCACCGAACCTCACAAAAATAATATTCAGGGACTACCTTGGCTCCTCCCACCCTCAACCAGTATATATACAAGGACTGTTTCTTGGAATTTCTCTCACTTGATACAGCTATCGTGCTGTGAATGTTCCACCTGAAGACGGAAGCTTGTGTTGCCTCCGAAACGTCGTGATTTTTATTTTATTTTTACTTTCATTATTTTTTTATTTTTTACCTACGTGACTTACCGAAAAAACCTAAGAATGTGAATCCTTGCAGTCACGAAAGCTTCAAATCTAGAATTAACCCAGGTACTTTACACACTCCACCAGGTACTCATTTGAGGCTGACTCGAACTAGAGGAGGCCCAGGACCAGTTCAGACAATCGTCACTGGTGTTGCCCATGAGCTGGAATCAAACTCGGTTTCTAGCACAGCAGGCTGACCGCTACGCTACCGCTCCCCCACACAAACAAGACACACACGTGTACACGCAACATACGACGGCCGGTATTCACAGATCACCAATTGGCCACCCCCCCTCCTGCCACCCCCATAGCCCACGACTCCAAGGAGAGAGAGGGAGATCACGAGCGGACAGACGCCGTGTGGGAAATACCTCTATGCAGCGCGGGAGGTGATCTTCGTGGCTGTTGGACCGGAATAATTCCCTGCCCGTCGCCAACTCCGCCACCGTGCAGCCCAGCGCCCACATATCCACTCCACATGTCAAGCTATAGCCCAGCAACAGCTCCGGAGCCAAGTATTCTAGGGTGCCACCAACATTCATAGCTGTACAAAAATCACAAGGACAACAAACATATGTGCGTGTGTACACACTGTGTCTTAAACAGCATCATCATCATGCACATAAACAGTCACATTTACAGACACTCAGATACTCACACACAGACACACTCAGACAGACACTGACATATAGACACTCACACGGACGCAGCGAGACCCATGCATAAAGACAGCCATACAGACACCCACACGCAGACACTCACACACCCAGGTGAGGTCACTCACGTTGACTTTCCACGAAAAAGCTCGTGCCAAAGTCCGTGATCCTCACGGTGCCAGTCACGGTGTCTTTGACGAGAACATTTTCCTGGAGGAGGGGTAGAATGAATTCAAACTCAGAGGTTATGCCGATATCATTCAGCCAGCAGTGGATCAATCACATACCACGACACACGCTAAACAGGGGTACTAGATGAGGCATAGCGCTGTCGACAAGCGTCAGTCAAGAGCAATATTCGCTGTTTTATGACAGCTGTCACTGGGCGGTGCCCCTTTCAAATGTGTCAAAATTAAATTTCGATTTAAAGCTTTCGTGACTGCAGGGATTCATCTTCTTGGTTCTTTCGGTAAAGTCATCACGTAGAAGGGAAGTAATAAAATAATAAAAATTCAACAATAAAACAATTCTCATGACGTTTCGGCCACAACGCAAGCAGCCGTCCTCAGGTGACCTGGTTTTCACCTCAGGACGGCTGCTTGCGTTGTCGCCGAAACCTGGTTTTCACCTGAGGACGGCTGCTTGCGTTGTGGCCGAAACGTCGTGAGAATTGTTTTATTATGTTTTATTTTTATTATTTTATTACTTCCCTTCTACGTGACTTTACCGAACGAACCAAGAAGATGCGTCGAAATTGTAGATGTGAGTAGAGGCGTGTCACGTTCAAAGCACTCTCAGGCACCATCAGATTAAAGGGGGGTGGCTCTATTGACAACCGATTGCCGTTGCTCCAACAGGAGAGCTGCATGGAGCTCACAGCTGGATGAGTGCCCGTTAACGAGTTACAGACAAAAAGCCACGCACAAGAGAGTGCACGGATTCCGTGACGCTTTCCACTGCACCTTTGTCTTTGGACGTTTTCAATTTGCAGATTGGAATTCGATAACGAGCAGTTGTCAGGCCAAAATGCACATTTCGCACGTTTTAAAAAAAAGTTCTGTTTGACTCCGTTTCGTGTCTCCCAGGGTTTGGGGCAACTCTGATCAACGTTGCCGGTTTTCTCTCTGGTGAGTCCCCAAGAGCTGACACGACTCTACACGATAGTTTAATTCATACCAGATCACATTCACCAGAGGAGCATGGTCCTGCCTCCTTCCAATGAGATGGGCAGAGCTTACATATCGACTCTGTGACGAACATGGCCGGTTTTCTCTGTGGAACGAGTCCCCAATAAACATACACCTCTGCAATCTTAATTTGTAGCTTTCGTGACTGCAGGAATTACTCTTTGGTTATTTCGGTAAAGTCACGTATAAAGCTTGCGTACTTTGTCACCCATCGTCCTACTCATTGACATGCTACTTTTTTCTCTAACCCCTCCCTCTCTCCGCCCCCACCCCCCTCTCTCTATTTAAGGCCTCGTCACAGAGACGCTCTCTCTCTGTGTGCCGATGTGTGTTCTCTCTCTATGTATATTTGCGATATCTGTCTGCTTATATATCTGTCTATAGTTTTCTGGTTAGATTTTTGTTGCTATTTCTTTTATACCTGATGATTGCTTGTGTTGCAATCGAAACGTCGTATGCTATTATTTAATTTATTATTTTATCTTTATACGTGACTTTACCGAAAGAACCAAAGAGTGATACACCTCTGCACCAAAGTGAAAGCTGAACGCTGTGTCCACTCACTGGCTTGATGTCCGCGTGGACGATTTTCATGGAATTGATGTGGCGCAGGAACTTGAGGATACCCCTGGTGTAGGTTTTCACCATCGCCATGTCCAACCGCCGGAGCCCCGCATTCCTAATCACTTCATGAAGGCTCTCCCTGTGAGAGAGGCAGAAGCAGCAACAAAAACACGGCATCAGTACCATCCCCTACAATGCTGCACTGATTCTGATAACGATAATCACATTCATATTGTACGTTCACGTGCAAGTTTATGACCAATATTAAGAGTTATAGTTCCGTGTGGGTTGAGGTCGTCAATTTGCCGATAAACCAAATCAGTTGGCATATCTGCCCACTTGACAACTTGATTTCATTGGCTTTGTTGCCGGGTGGTGGAGGGTAATCCATTGGGAGAAGATAAAAACTCCACACAGAACAGAAGCTCGGGATTTTCGCCGAGAGGCACAAGCATCACCACTGCCATGCAGCCACCCTGCTGATTGAGTGGAGGCGTGGGTTGGTGAAAGTGGCAGGGCTAATGGAGAAAAGACAAGTGGCCTCCAATGCACCCGTGGCACATGGCAGCTCCACAGGATTACAATGCATGGGTGGTGGCGTGGGCATCTCAACATTAACAGCTTACTCTTTGGTTCTTTCGGTAAAGTCACGTATAAAGATAAAATAATAAATTAAATAATAGCATACGACGTTTCGATTGCAACACAAGCAATCATCATCAGGTATAAATGAAATGAAATAGCAACAAAAATCTAACCAGAAAACTATAGACAGACATATAAGCAGACAGATATCACCAAGATACATATGTCTGTCTATAGTTTTCTGGTTCGATTTTAGTTGCTATTTCATTTATACCTGATGATGATTGCTTGTGTTGCAATCGAAACGTCGTATGCTAGTTATTTAATTTATTATTTTATCTTTATACGTGGCTTTACCGAAAGAACCAAAGAGTAATTCCTGCAGTCACGAAAGCTCCAAAATTAAGAATTAACAGCTTGCCGCGGTGGCGAGATGACATCTCCCCCGCCTGGTATGGAGGAGGTCCTAGGTTTGATCCCGACCGTGATGCCTGTACATTTGGAGTTTGCATGTTCTCCCCGTGGGTACGTGGATTTTTCTGTGGGTCCACTCGTTTTCTCCTCCACATTTATAATCAAAATGCTACTTTTCGATTTAAAGCTTTTGTGACTGCAGGGATTCATCTTCTTGGTTCTTTCGGTAAAGTCACGTAGAATGGAAATAATAAAATAATAAAAATAAAACATAATAAAATAATTCTCACGACGTTTCGGCCACAACGCAAGCAGCCGTCCTCAGGTGAAGAACAGGTCTGTCGGGGAGACAGAGTCTGTCTACGTGACTTTACCGAAATAACCAGGAACAAAAATGCTACTTTGTTAAGCTTTTATTTGTGGTCTGGTCGCTTCTAAAAAATAACGAAAGTTTGTTAAGTTAGTTAACCACGTTATTGGCGGAGGGGGGGGGGGCATGCAGTACATACTTCAACAGCTCCATGACGATACAGTCGTGTCCTCTGAAATGAAATATGTTCAGGACTTTGATGACGTTGAAATCTTCATCACTGCCCTCGTCCTGAAGTTCCAGAGCTATCTGGAGCTCCATCTTCTGGTATATTTCTTGCTTGGAGCTGCACAGAGGAAGTCCACAAATGAAGAGCCTGCATTTGCTTAAGGGATATCCAGAGCCAAATTAAATTCAGAATAAAATAATTAAATATGAATTCACCAGGTCTAACAGCACCAGGGGTTCCAGTAGCACACTCGACTATCATTGGTGAGGAGCTCCCACAGAGGGAGTAGGAGCCGACGTAGGGCACCCAATAGGATTTGGAAGTGAAGAACCATTCAAATCGGATTGGTCATTTGAGAAATCTAAATGCAAACGCATGTTAACACAACATATTCTCACTTTAATGTGCCTCTTCCATTCGGGCACACTTTTCGCATAACGCGGAATGTCCCCGTAATAACACGAACACGCCCATTGCAACGCGGAACGCTTCTCGTTATAACGTAGAACACGCCTGTTAAAGCACGGAACACGCCCGTTATAACACGATCTGTGAGTAGTCGACAACAAACTACTTTCTTGAGCTGCAATGATACATTACTCGCAATGATAAAGTAACGTGACGGCATACCCTCAGTATTGGTCTCGTCATCTCAAGGTGTATGAGTGCATTGTATCTCGCCAAACATTATTATTACATTATTTATGGGAAAATTACTTTCGCTCAATACTTTTCTACTGAACGCGGAACTTTTCAGGAATGTATCTACAGCATGAAATGAGGAATTCCCGTAATGTGCAGGTAATCTTTCAGCAATGGGATGTTTTGCCCCAATATTAGTTTACACTGTGTGTGTGTATTTTAAGCTTTAGGGAAGGAAAAATCTGAGAACCCAGAAGGAACTGATGCAGAACAGGGATAGAACATGCAAACTCCATACAGGAGGGCACCCGAATCAGGAGTCGAACCCAGGCCCCCCTTCTCGCTTTGATGCACGATTGTCACCGCTGCATCGCACGGCTGCCCGTGGCAACGGACTTAACAACATCGGCCTCATGACGGTGCGGCTCTGAAGTCTTACCTCGATGGTGACACCAGGATCTTGATGGCCACCAGGATGTTCCTTTTGTGATCAAGGCACTGGATCACCTGGCCTTGACCTCCTTCTCCAATCTTCTTCAGCACCTCATAGCGATAGCGGAGGTGCTCATGCCGGAACTGCACAAAAGGTACAATCATTTAAAGTGAATATAATTAAAATCACAAAATTTAAGAAGCGAGAATGTATATTCTTTGGGTCTTTTGGTAAAGTCACGTACATAGATTCAAAGAAAATAACAAAAAACTAAAAACAATCAAAGGGTTGCCGGGTGAAAATTATCATGTTAATGACAGATTAGTATGTTAATGGAATATCGCAGAGCCGCAACCGAGGGGTCGGCACGCAAAGTGGCTGTTAGTGTGAAAGCGCAAGTTTGAAATGGGCATAAAGCACAACTATCATCAGAAGGTGGTAGGATGGGAAGATCATAGCCAATTATGACTTAAACAGGTTGATAATGTCCTTCCAATGATTACTCAGTTTGTACCCATCTTCTCGGTTTAAATTGTGTCTGTCGATGAAAATGGATGGCTTCATGAAGTAATCTTTGTTGATAGCCAGTGGGCTTGCAAAGTACCTTCGTCTTAGAGAAATAAATTTCGTGTGAGCCCACCGCATTAAAACAATGATCAGCCACGGCTGAGGTATTGGTCCTACCGTGTTTCAGATCCTACCTAGTTTCGGATCTGCCTTATGTTCACGAACATAAGGCAGATCTGAAACTGTCGGGTTGGCTGCCCACCACTTGCATTAATATTGGCTGCTGACATTTGGGCTATGCCCATTTCAAACCCTAATAAACAGTTTGCCTTTGGAAGCTAACCCCCATTTTCCTGAAGTCGACCGATTTTGTTGCGATTGAAACATTGTAGTTTTAGTTTTTTATTTTCTTTGAACCTATCTACGTGACTTTACCGAAAGACCCAAAGAATATTAATTCCTGCAGTCACGAAAGCTTTAAGTCAAGATTTAAGTGAGAATGTAATTTTCTAATATATTTTCTGTAATGATTACGTTTTTTTAAATCTGTCATTGTGGAATGTTCTGATGTCTGCTGGCTCAGTCACCCTTCAAAATAGAGCTTCTTAGCTCAATGGGCTTTACTCGCGAATACAAAATTTCTGATTCTGAAGTACATTGGTGTGTGTGATAGCCCTGGTTGGTACTTCAGGTGCAATAACAAGAAGCCACAAACCCTGCTACCGATGGGCCCTGTGACCTGCCCCCACAGCTGGTGTTTTGTTGCGAGCCTCACCAGAATGTAATTTCGTTCGTAGTCGTCGTATCCATCATTGTTGCATCCCTCAGATTTGTTGAAAAGTGCAAAGTACCACACTTCCTGCATGGCTGCGAGTTCTAGCTTCTCACGGTTGGTCAAGTGAGGGCCAAAGAGAGCCATGATTTCTGCAGACATGAGAATAACGACAACATCTGTGTGATCCCAAAGTTGAGCAATTTGTAGGAAACAATTACAGGATTGGGATGTTTTGGCCAATATCAGTTATGTCTGTATGTATGTTGAACTTCTTTTGCACCGTACGTAGGCAATGGTGCCAAATGGATACGCGGGGGAAGGACAATAAACTAAACATCAAAAGTTCTAAAGAAAGTAGTTTTCAATCGAGATGATTTAAAAGTGTATAGCTCCAGTGGCTTCCTAATCATCTTCTTGGTTCTTTCGGTAAAGTCACGTAGAAGGGAAGTAATAAAATAATAAAAATAAAACATAATAAAACCGAAAGAACCAAGAAGATGAATCCCTGCAGTCACGAAAGCTTTAAATCGAAATTTGGCTTCCTAATATCGGAAGTGCATCTGAAAGCGTGTGATGTGCTGAGGCCAGAGCACAGATAATCATCCCCATGCAACATGGCCACCATGATGCAGTCCCCCATGCAACATGGCTACCATTAAGTCCCGCATGCAACACTGCCAACATGAAGTCCCTCATGCAACTTGGCTACCTGGATATCACCCATGCATCATGGCCGCTATGAAATCTCCAATGCATCACGGTCACTGTGACATCCACCATGCATCATGGCCGCTATGAAATCCCCAATGCATCACGGTCACTGTGACATCCACCATGCATCATGGCCGCTATGAAATCTCCAATGCATCATGGCCACTGTGACATCCACCATGCATCATGGCCGCTATGAAATCTCCAATGCATCATGGCCACTGTGACATCCACCATGCATCATGGCCGCTATGAAATCTCCAATGCATCACGGCCACTGTGACATCCACCATGCATCATGGCCGTTATGAAATCTCCAATGCATCATGGCCACTGTGACATCCACCATGCATCATGGCCGCTATGAAATCTCCAATGCAGCACGGCCACTGTGACATCCACCATGCATCATGGCCGTTATGAAATCTCCAATGCATCATGGCCACTGTGACATCCACCATGCATCATGGCCGCTATGAAATCTCCAATGCATCACGGCCACTGTGACATCCACCATTCATCATGGCCGTTATGAAATCTCCAATGCATCATGGCCACTGTGACATCCACCATGCATCATGGCCGCTATGAAATCTCCAATGCATCACGGCCACTGTGACATCCACCATGCATCATGGCCGTTATGAAATCTCCAATGCATCATGGCCACTGTGACATCCACCATGCATCATGGCCGCTATGAAATCTCCAATGCATCACGGCCACTGTGACATCCACCATACATCATGGCCGCTATGAAATCTCCAATGCATCACGGCCACTGTGACATCCACCATGCATCATGGCCGCTATGAAATCTCCAATGCATCACGGCCACTGTGACGTCCACCATGCAACATGACCATTGTGATGTTCCACCATTCACCATGGCCCTCTGTGACGTCCCTCATTACTGTCCTTACCTTGCGGTGATTTGCTGCAGATGGAGGCGGTGCCCTCTGAGGACAGCGCACTCCACGTGGTGCAAGATTCGCCCTTACTCCTCGCCTCTCCACCTCGGCTCATCTACACACACACAAAGACAAAGGTCCACCACGTAAACTTTAGCAAGATGTTGGGGAAAGAGCAGGAGGCGAGCACTGAGCCAGGATCTCTGAGATCCTGGGCTCCACAAACAGGAGGGTCCTGCCAAGATGTTGTGTCAGTTCTCAGCGTTGGGATATTTGGCCAATATCTGATGTCACACTTGGATTTACAATGAGACACGTGTGGATTTAGAGGACACACACAGGATAATGGCATCCTTCAAACTGTTAAGAGACGAGGGGCTGGGCCAGGACATGCCACGGCCAGGAGGAACAACGATGGCCGATGGTCAAGAAGAATAACGGAGCTGCAGCCAAGTATCGGAGCATGTTTGACGTTTGAGAGGACAGCTTCCATAAAGATGGTGCGACAAAATCGGTGCTTGGTGGATTATGCCATCGCAGGATCGTGAGGGGTAGCAGGAACTCAGGGAAGGAGGCCTTCATCCAGTAGTGGATAGATAAAAGTACTGTAGATTATTCACGTATAGACAGGCAGGTACACAGACAAGATCTCAGGGGAGATACTCTGATAGATGCACACACACTCAGGCAGGCAAGTAGATGTACACTCAGGTATATGGATAGGCGACAGGTAGCCACACGCAGAGTGGAGAGCACACGTCCATCAATACTTCACCACACGAGTCGAAGAGCCACACGTACCTCCATGGTAGCAACTTGTAGAGCAGGGTGCACAGAACTCACAGCGTCTCTCGCACAGTCCGGGTCTCTGCGTGCGGAGCAGGAGACGAAGGCGAGGATCACAAAGAGTCGAGGGGGCGTGAGGGCTCCCAGATCTCAACACGAGTCACAACGCGGGCTTACATCCTCACCATGAACCCACATCATCAACACAGACTCACATCATCACCACTCACTCACAACACGAAATACAAAAACAACAACAACCGACATTCGCCACTAAGTAGGGGTGATGACACCACGGCGTCTGTACCGGGCCAGGTGCACTTTTAGTCCACGTGAAGTGTCGAAGGCTGACAAGACGTCACGGGATAGACCCAGGTTCCAAAGGTTGGCTGAGATGACTGGCAGATACACCAGCTGTATCCCCAACTGTGCCAACTTGTTGAATTTTATCCGCTACTCGCTGTGAGCGTCACTCCTCTGTCCTCAGTTGTTGTTGGAAGGCGACTGCCTCCTACTGCCCGTGGGATCCTTCACGAGCTTCCTCGTGAAGGATGCTATCCACACCGCTGATACCAGTCTTCTGCAAGTCCACTCAGCTCCACATCCTCCCATACAGCATCAGTCCATATTTTTTGACAGCCCATGTCGTGCCCGTTTAACCTCCTTTATGCAACCAAAATAAACTGCTTGGGTATGCGGTCTACAAGACCCAGCCAATGCAGCCTTGCCTGCTGGAGGAGCTTACTGGTGGGAATGTCTCCAGATCTTTCAAGCATTTGTGAGCCCCTCACACAATCCAGCCTGGTTAAACCCAGGATGGATCGTACAATCAACACCACCATCAACACCACCAACACCAACAATACCACCACCAACAACAACAACAAGACTATCACCACCATCAACACCATAACCAAAAACATCACCAACACCACCCCCATCAACATCACCTCCAATCAACACCACTAACACTACCACAACCAACACCACCACCAAGACCACCACCACCAACACGACCACCAACAACACCACAATCAACAACACCACAATCAACAACACCACCATCAACACCACCACCATCAACACCACCAACACCAACAATACCACCACCATCAACACCACCAACACCACCACCAAGACCACCACCAACACAACAACCACCAACACCACAATCAACAACACCACCATCAACACCACCATCAACACCACCAACACTAACAATAAAACCACCATCAACATCACCACCACCAACACCACCACGAAGAACACCAACACACCACCACCAACAACACCACCATCACAAACACACCAACACCACCACCATAACCACCAACAACACCACCATCACAAACACACCACCAAGACCACCACCATCAAACCCACCAATACCACCACCATAAACACCAACAACACCACCACCACTAACAACAAAGAAAGATCCCCCTTATAGCTGAAATAGACTGTTGGGGCAAGTGCTGTTAGCCAGCAGTACCTATGAAGGGCAGAACGGCACACGAGGGGGTGGGTGGCCAGCACCACGCCCGGCCGCCTTTGTCTCCCTAGTGGCGATGTTTACACACACAGACTCACACACACACACAGACTCAACCACACACAGACTCACACACCACAGACTCACACACACACAGACTCACACACACACAGACTCTCACACACACAGACTCTCACACACACAGACTCACACACACACAGACTCACACACACACAGACTCACACACACAGACTCACACACACACACACAGACTCACACACACAGACTCACACACACACAGACTCACACACAGACTCACACACACACAGACTCACACACACACACAGACTCACACACACACAGACTCAACACACACACAGACTTACACACACAGACTCACCACACATACAGACTCACACACACACAGACTCACACACACACAGATCCACACACACAGACTCACACAGACTCACACACACACAGACTCACACACACCAGGACTCCACCATTTCTCACCTTCGCCAGATGCTCCCCCCGACTCTTCTAACGGACAAACTGCCTGAGGGAGACCGAGGGGCGGTACCAAGTGACCACGCCCACTATGACGTCGCAGACCTAAGCCCCTCCCCCACCGGAGCTCCTCCCCCCACCGGAGCCTCCTCCCCCCATGCCCAACCCCTCGCCCCGCCCCTTCACCCCCCTCGCCCCGCCCCTCCCCCCGCTGCTACTTCCGCTGAGGCCGGGCGAGTGGAGGCGGCGCTGTGCATTGTGGGTGGCGAGAGCGGACGGTTTGGATTCCCGCTCGCGGCCAACCAGTCGGCGGCTCGCTGGCTGGGCCTCCTCTAGGTCGACTCAGCCCGAACAAGGCGAGCACCTTGCACGCTGTGGACGCAGCAGCAGCAGCAGTGGCGGGGTGGTGGGGGGGGCAGAGGAGGCGCCTGCTGAGTTCACGGCCCTGCTGGCTGCTGATGATGATGAGGAGAGGCACTGCCAGATTGTGGCTGATGGGATGAGTTACATTTAGTTGTTTGTGTCTCTGGAGGGGCGGATTTGTTGTCGTGGCAGAAATGGCCTCGACTAGGAGGCCGCGATGTGGAGTGTTTGGTCTACTCTTCCACGCTGGGCGTGCCCGCACTTTACCCCGATACACACGCGGGGCGTGAGCTCACTGGGCTTGCAATGCAGAGGTGCAGGTTCGAGTCCATTTCACACTCAGCACTCGGCCACTCACTCAGTCACTCACCCACCCACTCAGCCAGCCACTCAGCCACTCACTCACCCACTCACTCACCCACTCAGCCACTTACTCACCCACAGAGGGATACAGACCATTATGCAGTGGTATTGTAGTATCTGCGTCAATGTTTGTGTTGTTTGGTTATGGTGGTGGTTGTAGTGGTTATGGTGGTGGTTATGGTGGTGGTTATGGTGGTAGTTATGGTGGTGGTGGTTGTGATGGTGGTGGTGGTTGTGATGATCATGGCTTTAGTTTTGGTTGTATAGGTGGTTGTAGTGGTGGTGAGGTTACAGGTGTGGTGTAGATGGTTATGTGGTTTGTCATGGTAGTTGTGGCTCTGGTTGTGGTGCTTGTGGTGGTTTAGGTTGTGGTTATAATTGTGGTTGTGTAATTTGTGGTTATATGTGCGGCTGTGGTGTTTGGTTATATTTGTTATAATTGTGTGGTTGTGGTTGTAGTGGACATAGTTGTGGTGGAGGTGGTTATGATGGTTGTTATGGTAGTTGTATTATTTTGAACTTCAATCGCACTCTACCCAGCCGACCGTGCTAATTGGAGGTATGATTATCGTTGCGGTTATTTTATGGTTTTGGTTTTAGTTGTGGTGTGATTGTGGTTGGTGCAGGTGCTGGGATGAAGGATGGGTTCCGTGTCCTCTGCCCATGCGGCTCCAACACGATTGCTCCAGCCAGCACTGCCGCCCCTGTGGTCACATGACCTTGCCTCCCAGCATACCTTGCAGTCGTCATTGATTCTGGGCCATCTTTACCTCCTGCATCTCTATAGGAGCTCTCGCTTCCTCCACACACTCTCCTCCTACCTCTGCTCTCTCTCCCCGTGTCTCCATCCCCTCTCTTCTTTCTGGATGGGCCAGGTTCAGGGGTCAGGAGTTGACTGGCTGCACTCTGACCTTTGACCTTGGCTGTCACCCGAGTGGGATTATCTAATAGCAGTCAACCCATAGTATCAGGATCTGTCCCGTGACCTCCTGCTGCACCTAGCCTGGCACAGCAGTAAACCCATGGCACCTGGGTCTGTCTAATGACCTCCTCCTCCTGCACCTAGTATGGCACAGCACTCAACCCATGGCACCTGGTTTGTTGTGATGACATTACCGCCACGTAGTGGCGAATGGCGGCCATTGTCGTTGTGAGTTTGTGGGCTTGTGAGTAATGGTGATTGCGTGTGTGACTATCATGTCGTGTCTGTGAGTTGGATGGTAGGGGTGTGTTTATGAGGGTGAGTGTATGTGGATGTGTGAGTATCATGGTGAGTATGTGAGTGATGGTATGTGACAGTGTGAGTTTGATGGTGATTGTATCATGGTGAGTGCAAGCAATACTGAGCTTGACTTATTTCCCCCCCTCCCTTTACCCACTCTTCCTCCCTTTCCCTGTCTCCCCCCACTCTCCCCCCACCCACTCTACCTCCCGCTCCTTCCCTGCCTCTCTATCTCTCTTCTTTCTCCCGTAACTACCTCGCCTGTTATACAGGTCGTGGGTTCGATCCCTACCCTCACACCTGTATATTTCGAGTTTGCATGTCTCTCTCTCTCCCCGTGGTCGCGTTCAGAGTGTTTGGTTTCTATAAATGTCGACGTGATGATAGGCCACTTCGTTGACCTATCATTTGTGGCATTTTCCCTTCTGAAGAAGAGCTGTGTCGCTCGATGGCATTACCTGGAAAAATTGAAATAGTTTAGTTTCCTCTTTTCCTCCTCCCTTCCTCCCTCTCCACACCCCCTCCCCCCCAGCACAACAACAAGAAGCAGGAGGAGGATGGTTTGTCTCCCAAGCCGAGCACTTCCGGGTCCACCTTCATGATCCTCCCTCTGCCCCGGGGGTGGGGGCGGGGAGATCCCCTCGCACAGGGTTACGGTACCCCACCCACATACACACGGGCTTACGGTGCCCCACTACACATACGCACAGGGGTACTGTACCCCCCACTCACATGCCAGGCTATGTGCACCGCACAGAGACCCAAAGACTCGCACATAGATGCATAGACTCACACAGACCCATTGACTCGCACAGAAACCAATTAACTCAAAAAAAGACCCGTCGAAACACGGACAATATACTTGCACAAAGACACATAGATTCACACAGACTCATCCACTCTTGCACCCACCCACTCAACGACTCGCAGGCTTACGCGCTCACCCAATCCCTCACATACTCAGCCGCTCACTCAGAAACTCACTCAAGAACTTGCTCACCCATTTACCCACCCACTTGCTCACCCACTCGTGCATCCACTCACAGAATCACTCGTAAACTCACCCACTCACACCTCAGAAACTGACTCACAAAATAATTCATCCACTCACTTGTGCACTCACTCGCCCACTTACCCATGCGTGCACAGATTCACCCACTTACTTACTCGGTCACAGACTCCCTCTCTGATAGACTCACTCATAGACTCACTCGCTCACAGACTCAATCACTCACAGACTCACTCAAGCTCTCACCCATTAACTTATTCAGAAACTCACTCAACCACCGACCCACTTACTTAAAAACTACCTCACTTATCCGCACCCATTCACTGACCTACTTACTCATCCACTCGCTCAGCCACTCACTGACCAACTCACTCACTCACAAACTCAGTCGCTCACTCATCCACTCACTCCGAAACTCATTCATCCACCCACCGACTCACTCGCAACCATTAACTCATCCCTCAATAATTTCATTCATTCACTCATCCACTCACTCAACCATTCACTCATTCAACAACCCACTCACTCACCCACTCACTTGGAGACTCTCTCTCACCCACTCACCTACTCGCCCAGTCCTATTAGCCACTCATTCAGAAAACTCACTTACCTACTCACTCACCCACACAATCGATCAATCACTCACTCACCACTCACTCATCCACTCTTCTACTCACTTAAGAACCCACTCCCTCAACCACCAACTCAGAATATCACTCCTCCACTCACTCACCCATTTACTCACCCACTCGCTCACCCACTCATTCAACAACTCACTACTCATCCACTCGCTCACCCCACTCGCTCACCCACTCGCTACCCACTCGCTCACCCACTCGCTCACCCACTCGCTCACACACTCGCTCACCCACTCGCTCACGCTCACCACTCGCTCACCCACTCGCTCACCCACTCGCTCACCCACTCGCTCACCCACTCGCTCACCCACTCGCTCACCCACTCGCTCACCCACTCGCTCACCCACTCGCTCACCCCACTCGCTCACCCACTCGCTCACCCACTCGCTCACCCACTCGCTCACCCACTCGCTCACCCACTCGCTCATCCACTCACTCACAGACTGACTCAGAAACTCACTCAGCCAAGCATTCACTCACTGACTCACTCACCCATTCATTTAACCATTCACTCACAGACTCACTCAGACTCACTCAGACTCACTCACTCACAGACGCACGAAGAAGCTCACTAACCCACTAACCGATTCAGAAATTCAGTCAACCACCAAATCACCTACTCAAAAACTCCTTTACTCATCCGCCCTCACTCACTAACCTATCTACTCATTTACTCAATCAGCCACGCTTACTCACGAACTCGCTCACTCATGCACTCAGAAAATCACTCATTCACTCACTTAGAAACTCCTACAATCACTGATCCACTCGCTCAAAAACTCACTCATCTACTCTCTCGCTCACTTTCTTATTTACTCACCCACTCCCTCATCAATTCACTCATTTCCCCACTCATTCCTTCAGTCACTCACTCATTCAGCAACTCGGTCAATCATTATCTAATTCAATCAATCACCCATTCACTCGGAGACTCACTCGCTCACTCATCCTCCACTCACTCACCCACTAACCCACTCAGATACTCACTCAGCTACTCACTCACCACTCATTCACCCACTCATCCACTCATTGAATAAATCACCTACTCACCCACTTTCTCAGCCACTCAATCAGAAACTCACTCACCCGCTTACACTTGGGAGTGGGTGGTTTTAGAGTTCAGTGTTCATCATTGGGACTCCCATAGGGTTCAGTGTTGCTCACTGGGTCTCCCATAGGGTTGAGTGTTAATCAATGGGTCTCCCATAGAGTTAAGTGTGACTCACTTGGGCTCTCATCGGGTTCAGTGTTAATCACTGGGCCACCCATAGGGTTCGGTGTAATCACTGGGGCTCCCATAGGGTTCAGTGTTAATTACTGGGCCACCCATAGGGTTCTGTGTAATCACTGGGGCTCCCATAGGGTTCAGTGTTAATTACTGGGTCTCCCATAGAGTTCAGTGTTACTCACTGGGTCTCCCATAGGGTTGAGTGTTAATCACTGGGTCTCCTATAGGCTTGAGTGTTAATCACTGGGTCTCCCATAGGGTTCAGTGTTACTCACTGGGGCTCTCATAGGGTTCGTTGTTAATAAGTTTTCGTGACTGCAAGGGTACATATTCTTTGGTTTTTTCGGTAAAGTCACGTAGGTTACAAAATAAAATAAAAAATAAATTAAATCTCAACGTTTCGGAGGCAACACAAGCTTCCGTCTTCAGGTGGCACCGTCACAGCAGTAATTTTGCTGTGCCACCTGAAGACGGAAGCTTGTGTTGCCTCTGAAACGTCGTGATTTCGTTGTTAATCACTGGGGCTCCCATAGGGTTGAGTGTTACTCACTGGGCTCCCATAGGGTTCAGTGTTAATCACAGACCCATAGATTCCTAAAACCCTAACCCTATAAACACGTAAGCCTCTACCCCTAACCCTCAAAACCCCTATACTCTGAAAACTATGACCCTCTAATCCCCTTCACCCTTAAACCCCTCACCCACTAAACCCCTATGCCTCTAAATCCAACCCCCTAACCCTTTGAACCCCTAACTTTCTCCAATCCCATTATAAAGGTTTTTTTGCAGTAAGATCGTGTAAATATAAATGTGTCTTAAAACCCGTCACCACCCGACACAGCCAATTAATAAAGTTTGTCACGTGAACAAAAAGTGCCAATTAGTTTCTATTTTAGCACATCGGTGTGTTGGAGACTAACCCAAATACACCTTTATTATGAATAACCCCTCAACCCCATAACTCCCCCTGTGCCACCCCCCATGTCCTCCCTCACCCCCCTCACCCCCCCCCCAGCTGCTACTTCCGTTGAGGCCGGGGCGAGTGGAGGCGGCGCTGTGCATTGTGGGTGGCGAGAGGCTGATTTGGATTCCCGCTCACGGCCACCGTCGGTGGCTCGTGGCGGCTCGCTGGCTGGGCCTCCTCTACGTCGACTCAGCCAGAAGAAGGTGAGAACCAAGCACGGTGTGGACACATCAGCAGTGGCGGTGGTGGGGGGGAGACAAAGGAGGCACCTGGCCCACAGGTGCCTCCTTTGTCTCCCTCCTCTCTCTCCCCGTGTCTCCCTCCTCTCTCTCCCCGTGTCTCCCTCCTCTCTCTCCCCGTGTCTCCCTCCTCTCTCTCTCCCGTGTCTCACTCCTATCTTTCCCCGTGTCTCCCTCCTCTATCTCCCCGTGGCTCCCTCCTCTCCCCGTGTCTCACTCCTCTCTCTCCCCGTGTCTCACTCCTCACTCTCCCCGTGTCTCACTCCTCTCTATCCCCGTGTCTCCCTCCTCTCTCTCCCCGTGTCTCCCTCCTCTCTCTCCCCGTGTCTCCCTCCTCTCTCTCCCCGTGTCTCCCTCCTCTTTCTCCCCGTGTCTCCATCCTCTCTCTCTCCCCATGTCTCCATGTCCCCTTCTCTCTAGGTGGTGCAGGTTCAGGAGTTTACTGGCTGCACTCCGACCTTTGGCCTTGGCTGTCGCTCAAGTGGGATTGTCGCACAGCAGTCAACCCATAGCATCAGTATCTGTCCCATGACCTCCTCCTGCACCTAGCCTGGCACAGCAGTCAACCCATGACACCTGACTCTATCCCGTGACCTCCTCCTGCACCTAGCCTGGCACAGCAGTCAACCCATGGCACCTGGGTTGTTGTGATATCACCATCATGTAGTTGCAAATTACGGCTGTTGTCGTTGTGAGTTTGTAGGTTTTTGTGTGAGTAATGGTGCGTGTGTGACTTTCATGACGTGTGTGAGAGTAGGTTGGTAGGGGTGTGTATCATGGTGAGTGTGTGGGTGTGCGAGTATTATGGTGAGTGTGTGGTTGTGTTAGATGGCTGGCAATGTTGATGGGTGGTGATGATGCAAGGCTTGTGCTCGAGAATGGCACACTGAAACTAATAGTGGAGCAGATTGACAGTGGAGCAGAGCGCAGTGGAGACGTGGGGCAATAGAGCAGAGGAGCAATGGAGCAATGAGGCAGTGGAGCAAAGGAGCAGTGGGGCATTGGAGCAGTGGATCAGTGGGGCAGATTAGGGGTTGATTTGTCGTGAAGAAGGCGAATCACCTGAATATGTGCTCTGAAGAAGAACCATTTCCCAAAACGTTTCTTTTTATCTATTTGTCCTCGTCCCGCCGCACACACAGCCGGGACACCGCACACACAGCCGGGACACCGCACACACGAGCCAAGGCACATTAAACCAACCCAGGCAGCACTCGCAAGCAATGCAACGTTACGTTGTGTCCTCATGAGTTCAATTTCACAAAGTTTATAGTAACAACAACAACAAAAATATTGATCCTAATTCTTAACCGGGTGGCCTTAAGACTTAGCACGTGCAGGTGTTGTTCATTGTCTGCACCAGACCCCTCCAGCAGTCTCATTCTGGGTCAGCTGCCCCTTACATGTCCTGGAAACCATGGCATGAGGAGCGCCTGGATGAAAACCAGCATGGAAGGGGCCCAGTGTGGGGCTGGCTATGCTAATGGAATAGCCCCATGTGTGTGTGTGATGTGAGGTCTCCTGGCAGCAGTCATTCTCCGCTGCAGTGCTGGCATCTGCTGCTCCGTTTCATTCCCCAGCTGTGGTCCCAGTGGCACCGTGGGTCGTGTGGTGATAGCGGTCACGGTTGGCACCGATCCACGACCACCACCTCTACTGGGCGGTGTACCTGCCTCCACAAAGTAGCATGTGGCGGAGGAGTGAGGTGAACGCTCTCGCCATGCGAGCGAGGCCCCCTCGCTTCCTCTTCTTTTCGTGCATCTCCACCTGCACCTCCTCCATCTTCTCCTGTCTCATCCTCCTCCATCCCCTCTTCTTCATCCTCCACCGCCATCTTCTCCTCTACCTCCTTCTCCTCTTCCTGTGCCACCCCTGTCTTCTCCATCTTCTCTTCTTACACTCGCACCATCTCTTCCTCCTTCATCTCCTCCTCACCCTCTTGCACCACCATCTCCTCTACCCTCTTCTCTTCCTCCTCCACCACCACCATTGTTTCCGCTTTGTCCGTAGTCTCCATCTCCTCCACCACGACCATCTGTTCATCGTTTGTTGTCGCCTTGTCCTCCATCTCCGTATTGTCTTTATCCTCTCCCTCCGTGCTCTCCTCCATTGTCACCATCACAATCTCGTCCTCCTTTGCCTTCTTTTCCTCCAATTTCTCCTCCATCTCTACTTCATTCTCCATCTCCTTCATCTCTTCCTTCGTCTCCTTCGTCTCCTTCTGCACAACCTCTGACTTCGCTTCAAAGGCCTGGAGGAGTGAGGAGGAGGGCTGCTTTGGCTCAGATCTGTGAAGAGACAAACACGACACCGTTCCACTTTCCTGCTACGGCAGACATCGCCATCTCCCATGGTCCGTGGGTGTAATGCGTGGCGCATTAATTCAAGCTTAATACAAACAGCAATAACGACATGGCCAGTGAGTGTGCTTAGCATTGGCGCTGTCATTCTCATGGGGCAAGGCTATCCTTGAGATTGATTCAGCTGTGTCTCACACAGACTGTTGTAGTTTCACAGTAGTGGGTGGCCTTGCTGTGTCAATTTAGCTGAATCATTTGTAGTGACATTTTTCTTCTATGTGTATTCTAAGTGATCCCTTGGACATAATGGCCTACGCATTTAAAATGACCGGTGGATATCCTGAACATCCACTGTGACGGAATGGGTGTGTATCTTTGTGGTTAATGCGGCGGCAGTAATATCCAGGGCGGGAAGCAAGATCTGAACTGTAAGTGGTGAGCGATGAGTGCGCGACCCTTTGGCTGCTTCAACCAATCCACGATTTCGATCAACTATCCGACAGTGATTTGAGGTTGACAGAGCCGCCTCCCTTGACGTCGAAGGCATCTCAGAGTGCATTGAGCGCGATGAGCCACTCACATCTCGCATCTCTCATCTCAACGCATTTGAAATTGGACACCCCTCCCAGTGGTAGCTGTCTCTGTGCATTACAAGGCAACTTGGCAGCTGGCCTGGAAACAGGCAATTATTACGGTGGATGGAGGGTTAAATGGTGAAATATGGCCGCATCGTTATCTGGTCTCACCCAGAAACCAATTATTGAAAGTAAATCTGTCCACAGTATAGCGCAATGTACACGTGGGGTTTGCAGTGTCTGTGTATTTTGTGAGTGCGGCAGGGCTGGAGCACCTGTGCCTCAGCAGCAGAAGGGACCTGGGTTTGATTTCCACGTTGGGCCACGTTGGGCCACGTTATCTGTGTGGAATGTGCTGCCCCCTGTTCTGGGAGGATTCTGCAGCTTTCTCCCTGTAACTGAACCCACACAATGCAAATCGCTCAATTTGGATCACAAACAGCAGCAACTTTGTTACCAACTGCGAGCAAACTTGACAGGACCCTTCTGAAAAAAAGTATTGAGACTTAGTGAGGCTCATCCTGCGTAAACAAGCATGATAATAAATAAATTAAAATAAACACGCACTGGACACACGCAGAGTGGTTTACCGTGGCTCAGCGCCTCCAGAGTTTGCTTTCTCTTCTTGGAAGCCCTCTTCTGCAAAGCTTGGAGCAATCGGGCCCTGCACAGGAGTGGCGGCGGTGGTGGTGGCGGCGACGGTGGCGCTGGCGGTGTTGCCAGAGGCGGTGTCGGTGGTGGTGGTGCTGCTGGTGATAGCGGTCTGGAGCCAGTGTTGCTCGATCTTGGCGAGGCGCTGCTCCTCCTCTAGGCGCTTTTCCTCCATGAGGCACTTTTGCTCCACTAGACGCTTCTCCTCCACTAGATGCTTCTCCTCCATCAAGTGCTTCTCCTGAAGTTTCGCCTCAATGAGGCACTTCTGCATGAGACGTTTCTCCTCGACAAGCTTCACCTTGCAAAGCCGACTCTCAAGATGCTTCTTCTTCTCGAGATGCTTCAGCTCTATGAGACGCTTCACCTCAAAGAGGCGATTGTCTTCCTCCACCCGCCTCTCCTCTGAGGCACTTCTCCATAAGGCACTTTTCTTCCTCCACCCGCTTCTCCTCTATGAGGCGTTTCTCCTTCATGAGGAGCTTGTCTTCCTTGACCCGCTTAGCTTCTGAGGCGCTTCTCCTCATCGACACACTTAACAATGGCGAGATGCTTCTCCACCTCCAGATGCTTCTCCTCGAGATGCTTCACCTCACGAAGGCGCTTTTCCTCCATGAAGCGCGTTTCCTCAAAAAGGCGCTTTTCCATGACGCATTTCACGTCATTGAGGATCTTGTTTCGAAGGCACTTCTGCTCTGTGAGGTGCTTCACATTGGCGAGGCGCTTCACCTCAATGGGGCGCTTCTCTTCCATGATGCGCTCCTCCGCAAAGCGCTTCTCCTTGAGATGCTTCTCCTGGAGATGCTTCACTTCTGCGAGGTACTTCACTCTGGAGAGACGCTTCTCCTCCATGAAGCGCTTCTCCATGGAGCGCTTCTCAATGAAGCGCTTCTCCTCAATGAAGCGCTTCTCCTCCATGAAGCGCTTCTCCTCCATGAAGCGCTTCTCCTCAATGACGCGCTTTTCCATGAGGTGGTTCTTGAGGAGATTGTCTGGAAGGCATTTCTCCTCTGGGATGTGCGTCACCCTGGCAAGGCGCTTCATCTCAATGAGGTGGTCCTCTTCCATGGTGCGTTTCTCCTTCGCAAGGTGCTTGTTCTCCTGGAGACGCTTCACCCCGCTGAAGTTCTTCACCTCCCCAATGCTCCTCTGTTCACGCGAAGAAAAGCACAGGACCATTCAGACATGCACACGCAGGACAAAATTCATACTCCCAGGCACACAAACATGGACGGGCACATACACAAACAAAAATGCATGCTCGCACATCTATGTACGAATGCAAACATGAACATTTACTAATGCAAACATGCTAGAACACGTGAATATACACCACGTAATGTTATAAAAAATACATGTTACATCATATATTCTCACAAGTTCCATAAACGTACTTAAGGCTGTGATAGTCTGCGACGAGTTCATGGCCAATGTTGGCAACAATCATTACGGGCAAAAAAATGTCCACAATGTTCGATTGCAAAGATCTGGAAGCCCATAATCTGGACAAATTTTACTGCAGCATCGATAGTAGGCAACTGGAATGGCAACTTCCAATCAGCTCACAGACGGATTTCATGAGATTGCATGATATCATTCTGTCTTCATTGGCAAAATAAATGGCAACTTGAAGTGCTTGCACGAGTGGGATATGGCAGCACGTGATGGTGGAGAGATGGAGTGATGGTGTCGGGAGATGGTGTTGTGATTTGGAGGTGAAATTGTGGAATGTTCTGGAGAGATGGTGTCTTGTGATGGTATAGACGCATTATGAGGCGCTATGATGGTCTATTGAGTTGGTGGTGGTGTGATGAGAAAGTTGACGTGGAGAGATGGTGTGGTGATGTTTTGGTGCAATGGTGTGGTGAAATGGTGTGCTAGTGTGGAGTGAATATGGTGTATTTGACCCCCATAGATCCCATAGCCACCTTTGGGGAGCGATGATCGTAGCTTTGGCCTGGGAAAGGGTCCACTTCATCCATAATGTCCCCCCCACGTGGTCGACTGGCGCCACGACTCCCGGTCTATGGAGAACAGAAAATGCATTCAAAGGACGAGTAATGAATTAGAGAACGAAGCACATGAAGATTCACAGAACTAATTCTGAGGTCCCTGTAATTACCTCTGACCACACAACAGGACCTGCTATTGAGAAATATTCATCACATGGCAGTAAAACTTTACGCGTCATATTTTTGTAAGCATGTTGAGATCATCAATTTCATAAACTTGAGACCCCCATTTAAACAAATATGGCTGAAACTCAGATCTGGAATCAGACAAATTATTTTACTTTCAGGAATTTAATAGTTAAAAAATATTCTCAAAATCAAACAAGTAAAGCTCGATTTATCATTCCCCATTGACGTCCTTATCGATTGAAGCTATTCGTCCTGAAGTGAAAGCCATCAAACACAGGAACAACGAAAGTGAAATCCACATACATCCTGAAACCGATCATCTGCAGTAGTTATTATTAAACAATGAGGAAAATGAAGGAATTTTAAAATATATATTGGGCAAAGATGTGATCAGTCTTTTCCAACTTTAGCTCAACAAAACCACGAGAGTAAAATCAGGAATTGAACCACCTCACAACCACTGTACATCACACCACATCAACAAGTAATCCGATAGGACTACGAAGCACCACCTTAACGTGACGGAGTCTGGAATAAACAAGACAGCACGCTCACATCATTTGCTGTGAGAAAATTACAACACATACCACCTACCATGAGCACCAGCCATTTAACAGCCCCGATCCAATTACTAGAACATAAAATGAATGCTTTCATTGGAACACGTTAAAAAGCATTCACAACATCACTCTAGCAGGGGTTACTGGAAATCACTGGAAAAATATTTAAGATACACGAATATACACAGTGCAACAGTACTCAATACATTTGACTCTCCAGCCACTCCACTACATCCAGCCATCTCTCAGGATCAAAACTGCATGGGGTCAAAAGAAGAATTGTCGTCAGGACTCATTACATCCAATACATTCAGACATCTCTCAGGATCCACCAGCATCGGTTCGAAAAGTGATTTTTTTCAGGACTCATTGCAGCACTTTGCATTTCACCTTTTGATTTCACTTCCCTATCATTGGAGATCTTCTGATGCTTGTTTCGGGATGATGACCGTGAACTTGTCCTCTACCTCGTAGAGCATTTGAATTGCTTCTCACCCAAGTGTGTTTTCTGGTGAGTGTGAAGATTTGATTTCCATGCAAATGCCTTCCCGCACACAGCGCAATTGAATGGCGTTTCACCCGTGTGTGTTTTCTGGTGACTTTGAAGATTTTGTTTCAGTGAAAATGCCTTCCCACCCACAGAGCAATTGAATGGCTTCTCACCCGAGTGTGTTTTTTGGTGATTGTTAAGTGTTGCCGACTGTGAAAATGCCTTCCCACAAAGAGAGCACTTGAATGGCTTCTCACCCGTGTGTGTTTTCTAGTGAGTGTGAAGATTTGATTTAAGTGAAAATGCCTTCCCACAAAGAGAGCATTTGAATGGCTTCTCACCCGTGTGTGTTTTCTGGTGACAGTGAAGATGTGATTCCCGTGCAAATGCCTTACCACACAGAACAATTGAATGGTTTCTCGCCCGTGTGTTTTGTGGTGTCTGTTAAGAGTTTATTTCTCTACAAATGCCTTCCCGCACACCGATCAATTGAACGGCTTATCATCCGAATGTGTTTTCTTGTGAGTGTTAAGATTTGCTTTCTGTGAAAATTCCTTCCCACACATAGCAATTGAATGGCTTCTCACCCCAGTGTGTTTCTTGGTGATAGTGAAGATGTGATTCCCGTGCAAATGCCTTCCCACACACAGAACAATTAAATGGATTCTCGCCCGAGTCTGTTTTTGGTGACAGTGAAGATGTGATTTCCGTGCAAATGCCTTTCCACACATCGAGCTATTGAATGGCTTCTCGTCCGTGTGTGCGTGGCACTGTGGAGAGTTCATCTGCTCCATGTGACTGATTCATCAGAGCAGAGTAACAGTCTCGGGTGTTGTTGAGTTAAAGGCGCCCTCTAAGCTGTTTGGATATCTGGCTCAAATCGCCAATAAGCAAACTCTCACTAACGTCTAACCGAGACAGTAACGCCCCGTAAGTCGAACTACACACGCGATTACAGTTTATCCACTAACAAAGACACTTGTTGATGCACGGCGTATCGATGTCCCTGTAACCCGTCTGAAGAGATCGCCACGAACTCTCCCGAAGCGAAGTCGCCAACCAGTCGCCAAGCAATCGTGCTCGCCAGGCTGGGTCTCGTGGAAGAAGGGTAATCTGCAGAGCGAGGAGTTGCGCGTCTATCCTCAGTGAAATCCCTCTCGAAATGGTCTTGAAGTCTGATCTTATGCCCCTTATAACTTCCCTCTAGCATCCAAATTATTTGTTCTCGACTTGGCCTATCATGGACTTTGCATTCAATTGTTAATTCTTACATTAACAATCTGCATATCTAGCAACAGCTTAGCTAATCTGGCCATTGTAATTAAACCTTAATACGTATGTACATCTCACTGCATAATTGTACGCTTCCGTTTGAATAAAGATCTACATCTCCAAGTCCGTGCTTCCTGTGAATTTGCTAATATTCACCCTGCTATGTCCTCTAAACTGCTGCAAGTTTAGAGGATTAAACAACGACATACAGTCTAAAGAATACAACTGATGTCCAGTTTGATTTGGACTAAGAGGTCAAATTTATACTGTACTTGCTTTGTTTCATAAATACATAGAAGTGCACTCGTGTTAAGCGGGTGTTTCTAGAAAACGAGGTTATGTTATAATTTCCGTTATAAACTTTGAATAATCATCTGAATGGTTTAGTTTGTAAGCGTGGTTTAACATGACATACCACAAAAAAATTAATCATCACCATTTAGTCTTCAGTGTGTATGTATACTCTTGTGTATGTGTTCAATATTTTGCACGTGTTTTATATTTTGGACGTGTTTTTGTTTTGGTAATTGCATTGAATATGGAGGGGTTACCAGCACCTTGCACCCGTCCAGACACCTTGTGGGCCTCTGTGGTGGCTACGAGACGTCCCTCCAGGACATTGCTCTTATCCTTCACAGCGTTACCGACCCGGAACGCCGATGAGGTTGAAGGCTGTTTATACAGAAATGTATTCGTGGCAGGGGAATGCCAAAAAAACATGGAGTGGCTATTCTTCTGGAAAAAATAACCGTATACGTATGTGTGTGTAAATGTTTGCAGGTACAATCGTGCGTTTTCGCAGTGGAACGCAATCCTTGTCTGTATGTATGTACACCGCTGTATATGCACACTCGTGTGTGAATGCACACCGCTGTATATATACAGTCGTGTTTGGATGCACATTAGTGCGCGCATGTCTACTTGTCCGTGTTTTTTCAAGGAAGGAAATGGTAGTAATAATGTACGATCAGTCATCTTTAAAAACAAATCAGGTCTTCATTGATCTGCAACAATATTAACGTTAAAACTCGCGTAAAAATCTTTATTAATTCGTTTTTCAAACAGTTAAGGAACTCGGAAAATTATTTCACTTTCAGAGGCCTCGTGGGCCGCTGTGGTGGCTACGATACTTCCCTCCAGGACATTGCTCACATCCACCGCAGCGTTACCGTCCGTCACCGCCGATGAGGTAGCGGATTCTTTTCACGGAACTTTACTCGTGGATGGGGAATGCCAAACAACAGGGGGCTCTTCTTCTGAGAAAAAAAAAACGAATCAAGGGGGCGTGGGAGCGTGGCGTAAGGTGTGGAAAGCGCTAAGCCCCAGGCTACCGTGGGCACACCTCCCAATCAACGGGAGGCGAGGAGTGGTGGTTGCTCATGCATCCACCGAAGATGCATATAAGTCGAGTTAGATTCCTTCTCTGACCTCCTACATTATAATCCTACTATACTCGGATGTATGCATATGTATATATATTTGCGGACCTAGGGACGGATATGCGTACTGGGGGTGCGGGATTAGAATTGCACTATAATTATTAGGATCGCATTGTGGCCGCATTGTAATTTGCTGAATGTACAATCTCAATGGATTGGAATAGCT